CTACCAGGTGACTGTTTGACTTGCTCATTAATTAAAACCTACCACTCATACCAGGTGACTGTTTGACTTGCTCATTAATTAAAACCTACCACTCGTACCAGGTGACTGTTTGACTTGCTCATTAATTAAAACCTACCACTCATACCAGGTGATTGTTTGACTTGCTGATTAATTAAAACCTACCACTCGTACCAGGTGACTGTTTGACTTTCTGATTAATTAAAACCTACCACTCATACCAGGTGACTGTTTGACTTGCTCATTAGTTAAAACCTACCACTCGTACTAGGTGACTGTTTGACTTGCTGATTACAGGTGTCTGCATTGTAGACATATTTGACCACCAAATTAACCTCTCTCTCTTCAGTTCATGGAATGCCATCCATGATGGATTGAAGATAATTTATAAATTATGTTAAGTAAACATTTTCATTCCCTTTCAGAGTTTTACCAAATTTGTCACAGTTTATTCTTCTATACAACAACCACAAGCTGTTATGGTTTATCAAATGCATCATGATGAAGTAGAGATGAACAGTGTCCCTCTCATCACAGTTGAACCACTTGCAGAATTGCTAAGGGCAAATGGTATGAGTTGTTTGCATAGTTATAACTTACATCTCATGATAATCAATATGTTAAGCACTTATTGGGTGAAGTTGAGCATGATCTCATGAATTATCAATCCAGAGGTCTGAGTTACCTGCCGAAGCCTGCAGCTTCAGTAGATAACACAGACTCAAGGTTTGATAATTCATGATATTACACAAAAACCGAATTCAATAATTGTTTCATTATACATTTTTTAAACAATCTGTTTAAAAGAGTTGTCACGTAGTAAGTATAATAAATATATCTTATTAACCAAGTGCGAGGGCCGTACTGGGAGAATATCAGTCCGAGGTCTTGACATTACGGACCGAGCGCAGCTCAGTCCGTACAAAAAAGACCGAGGGCCGATATTCTTCCAGTACGGTCCCGAAGAAGCTTGGTTAATAAGAGATTTATTATATAACTGAAGTTCAAAGGGATACAAGTGCAGTATCATTTGGGACCATTCGGGACAGTGCCTGGTTCAATACTGAGAGAATATTGAACAGCAATAGAGCGTTTTAATTGGTTGATTTTAGTTATTGGCCCTCTGACTGCCCAAGTCATGTAATAATAACATAATAATTGTTATCAATCAAAATTATGTCATTATAAGTAATTCAAAGGAGGATATACATGGCTAGGCATTGATAGAAATTTTCAATTATCTTCTTGTGTTGTTTAATGTGGTTCATGACTGAGTCAAGCAAACTCAATGGAGATGATTGTCAACACGAGAGGATATTAAGTTTGTATCCACAAGCATACAATGCTATATTCTGTTTTATTATTGTATTCCAAAAATTAGTCAGATATTTAAATCATAGATAGTTAACTGTATTTGCTTGAAGAAGGGTGCAGGCACTGATTCAAAATTAGTCAGATATTTAAATCATAGATAGTTAACTGTATTTGCTTGAAGAAGGGTGCAGGCACTGATTCAAAATTAGTCAGATATTTAAATCATAGATAGTTAACTGTATTTGCTTGAAGAAGGGTGCAGGCACTGATTCAAAATTAGTCAGATATTTAAATCATAGATAGTTAACTGTATTTCCTTGAAGAAGGGTGTAGGCACTGATTCAAAATTAGTCAGATATTTAAATCATAGATAGTTAACTGTATTTGCTTGAAGAAGGGTGCAGGCACTGAATCAAAATTAGTCAGATATTTAAATCATAGATAGTTAATTGTATTTCCTTGAAGAAGGGTTCGGGCACTGATTCAAATTTTTGTTAAAAGGAGGGATGCTTATTGGAGGAAGATTGCTCAACTGAGGGGGGGGTGCTTATGGTTCTCTTGTATTGATTCTGTTGTCTTTGAAGTATATTTAAAAGTTACAAATTAAGTGTCAATGATAATACTCCCTCTTATTTAAGAAAGAAAGGAAGAAGGGGAAGGGTACTTGTTTGACATAATGGGTATGGAGGAAGGTGCTTATTGCACATCTGTTCAGAACTCTACTGCACGTCTAGTTTGTATGACTAGATCATATTACTCCGACTTTAATTGATCTGCATTGGCTTCCCATGAGGCATCGTATTGTTTTTAAGATTCTTCTTTTAGTTTATAAATCTCTTAATGGTAAGGCCCTGTTGTATTTGTCTGATCTTTTAAATTATTGTAGGAGCTCTTATTCTTTGTGATCTGTTAGTAATGGCGACCTTGTAGAGCCATCTTCAAAAATGCAAACTTATGGAGATCAATCGTTTGCAGTATGTGCTCCAAGATTGTGGAACTCTTTGCCTCTTTCAATACATAGGAGTTCTTTTGTTGACATTTTTAAAATGTTTGTTAGTGAATGTTAGTAACTGTAGTTTGTTTATAATGTATTTTTATTTGTTGTAAAGCGCCACAGGCAATTTATTGGAGTTGTGCACTGTAGAAATACTCTTTATTATTATTATTATTATTATTATTATTATTATTATTATTATTATTTATCAGACATGCTTAAAGTGCAAATTGCTTAGATGACCTTAGATGACCAAGTAAACTTAGCTCCTGTAATGCTTCTTCAACTTATATACATGTTAGTTGTGAAGATCTTATGTTCAAGGAACAGGAGAAAGGCTGAATGTTGTTGAAATGTATATTATAGAGATTGATGATAGCTAAAAGTTAAGTTATCCATTACATTTGATAGAGTTGATGATACTGCACAGTATCATGACAGTCTGCTAAGACCTTTTTTTTTCTCTAGTTATCCCCGATTACCAGCCACCAGAACTTTTCTCTTATGAAAGCAAGCATGGTAGGTTTAACAGAAACACCTCAAGCAAGTATGCTACAGAATAGATGTTGCACAGCAAACATGGGCCAGTTTTGTTGGGTTTTCAGGTGTTTGTGTGTGTTGTTGTACACCACACCTTTACAGTAACATTGCTTTGTTTTTTGTTTGTCTTTTTTTTAATTACATTAATTTTGTACTGAGAAAACAAAGAAATTATACCTTAAAATACAAATTTAAAAAAGAGCTACAAATTTGTCTTATAATTATTCTCTGTACAACGTTAACCATAATTGCAGACCATTGGATGGGTTCATACAATTTTTGTAATTTGTTCCACTTTAGTGTACTTAGTCTGTGTGTTTTAAGCTATATTCTTTGAGCTATGAAGCTAAGCCTATTCATGAAAATTAAGGATAATTCCTGAAGCCTCAAATTACATTCATGTCCAGCTGTACACTTTGGTAGGCACACCAAACATTCCAACACAAACAAAACCACATAAAACTCATGAAAGCATATAATTCTAGTTGAAATAAATAGGCCCTATAACCTCTGAATTTTCATATCTAAGTTAAGTAATAGTACTGAACAAAAATTAATTTTGTAATGCTCTTCCAGTCAAATTAAGTTATTTTTACAAGTCTTGATTGTGCATGAAATTTGTGTGAGTTTTTTCATCTGTGGGTTCTAACTAGTAGGTTTTGTTAATTACTAAGAAATTGCTAACAAAGTTGGTAATTCATATCAGGACATCAAGTGTATGGGATGATGTTCAAACCTCCCTTAATCCAACCTGGAGTCAAATATCCAACTGTCCTTTATTTGTATGGAGGACCTCATGTTCAGGTAAACAAACCAAAATCTTTCTCAAGATTTCATACAACTTTAGAGCTAAAAAGTTATCTTACATTTTATTTTAAATGTTTTACAATAAATGAGGGGAACAAGTAATGCCTCATCCTTTTATAAAATTATAGGCTATGTCCACTTTTGCTGTCTCCTTTTAAACTTTCTTGTTAGTTTTTGTTAATTGTCTGTCACAATCAGACATCAACTTTCAATTTTATCAAACAAGTGAAATACTGGAACTGGAAACCTGTGTTAGTTTTAATTATCATGTATGCATGTTTATCACTTGGCAGCTAGTGACCAATGCTCACAAAGGTTACCGCTTTCTCCGACTGCACACCATAGCTAAACTGGGCTATGTTGTGGTAGTGATGGACTGCCGAGGTTCTGCACATAGAGGTCTTCAGTTTGAAGGACACATCAAGAGTCGCCTGGTAGGTATCAATTTACAGATTCCTATCATAATGGTGATATATTGAATGTTAAGACCTTCTTGCCTTATTAGACACTGTGCACTGACACCTTTTTTTGGGAGGTGGGAGGGATGAGTATTATTGCTCATTGACTGAGTGATTATCAAAACAACTGTTAGTATTACATTCTTCCCATTTTATTACTGAGTTCTTAAAACAAATCAACTACTCATGCATGCAAGGGAAATGTTTGGCAAAATGTTCATTCAATATGGTATCTCTTTGTGTCAAGTGATAATGGCTAATCATTTGATCTTTTAACAGTAAAAACGTCAATAACTACTCTGACCATCAGTTGTACTACAATTGATCTACTGGTACTGTCAAACTCAGCCACAGTAATAGGCAACTCTGCCTTCTTAACAGTTTTATCCATAAGTTCGTAATTCAGTTTTTATCTCAGCCCCAGCAAACCCTACGGTAGGGAGACATTCTCTTTTAATCAGATCCTATGAAGTTTTGAATGGTTTTTATTAATGAAGGCTTAAGATAAATAATTTGTCTTTACTTTAGGGTCAAGTAGAGATTGAAGATCAGGTTGAAGGATTAGAATATGTTGCTAAAGCAACTGAAATTGTTGACTTGTCCAGAATAGCCATTCATGGCTGGTCCTATGGTATGGCAAGGCATTTCAACTGTAATTAGTAGCCTTAACAGTAATGGTTCAATTCCTGTCAAGCAGATAAGTTTCTCTCTCAGTTTGCTCCTACTGAGTAATTTGATCCAGAGAGGCCAACCCATGGAATATTGAGATGTTTGATTTTGGCTCATATTTCAACCACTTCCTCTCTAAATTACATAATGTTGTTTTGATAAAGGAATGCTTTTTTTCCACAGCTCCCTTAAAACCAAACATTTCATTTGGGGGTCACAGAAGAGTGAAAATGTGTTACAAACTGAAGTAGTACCATCCTGAAAAATAGGACTCATTAGATTGCAACTTTTATTCATTTGGTAATAATTAGAATTATGATTACAAAGATGGACAAGAAGATTTTTTCTGCATTTGGGAAATTCCTAGACAGGCCAGGGAGTGAGCAAATATAATGCTCCTCGAGTTTATCCAGCTTTCTGTTTTGCATTAGTTCTAAACCAAATATTTTCATTGTTTTCCTATTAATTTTCTTCCTTGACTTTTATGACATTAAATGAACTGGAATTGTTCCATTTCTTATCTACTGTTCAGGGGGTTACTTGTCCTTGCTGGGCTTGTTACAGCGTCCAGATGTGTTTAAGGTAAGAGTAGTTAGAGTCCTTTGTATCATCCACTGTCTTGCTGGGCTTGTTACAGCGTCCAGATGTGTTTAAGGTAATTAACAAATGGTAAACACCACAGCGTACACTATTGAGTTATGGATGCACGCGGGAGGTTGCTAAGCACGAGAGAAGCGTAAGAGTCGCTCGAGGCGATAGCCGAGAGCGACTCTAGCTTCTTGAGTGCTTAGCAAACCTCCCAAGTGCATCCATAACTCAATAGTGTACGCTGTGGTGTTTACCATTTGTTTTATAACATAACATTGATACATTGTAGCTAAAGAGTTCCCTTTTATTTAACAAATCTTACGCGACCAGAAAAAACAAGCGCGCGCGGAAAAATAGTCTTTGCATTTGCTCACGTCAGCAGCGTACACCCATGGGCAAATGGGGGACGCTAAATTGACCAATCAGAGCGCGCGCTTTACTTTGGTTATGTTATAATTTTTTTTCTTACTCTTTATCNTTTTTTAACCCATTAATGGCCGCAGCTTTTGTGGAAAACTGTGTTTTGAAGCTAGTCGAGCAGATTTCGGGTCACTGTAGTGGTTTTAAAAGCTCAAACTTACCAAAAACCGCTTGACAGCTCGTACACTCGACGGCCTTTCGATCCCAATGCAAAATGGCGGCCTGAAAATCTCGGGCACGCACAGAAAGCAAAATTTTGACAGTTTTTGGGTTGAAAAGTAATGCCCCACTTAGGACTTTTACTTTTCTCTCTTTCTCCTGCCCTCTGTTTCCCCTCTCCTTGCCTGAAGTTTCTCCTCACTTGCTGGAAATTTAGTAGGCTTCATTTTGGTGTAGAGATTTTTTAGGAAACCACTCATTATTTTCGAAGCACATGCTCAGAAAGGTAGGAGGGTAATGGAACACGATTTTCGTGCAGATTTTCATGTCAAAGTTACATGGTTTTTTGGCTATTTCTCCAATCTCCTTCACTCAATTGCGCTCATTCTGGTATCATTTGCAAGATATTTTCAACCTGTTTAAGTATGTGCTCAAAGTCGAGCTCCAGGGTTAAAAGTGATGATGTCACAAGGCGTAGAAAGGGTGTGGGTCCCCATGGGCGCATACGGATGCACTGGACGTCAATAGGTTAAATTAAAACAAAGGTAACCTGTATTTACAGTCATATTTTAATCAACAGAGAGAACAGACTGCTTCTTGTTCATGGCTTAATTGATGAGAATGTTCACTTTTACCATTCAAGCCTACTCATAACTGAACTGATAAGAGCCTGTAAGCCATATCAGCTTCTGGTGAGAACACATCCTTAATTTTGATAATATTTGAGATGGACAGTGTTCATGTTGGTTAAAAACCCAGAGAGCTATGGAATTCAAAACTTTGACTATCCAGACTAGTCTCCTTTGTTGCTGTTGTTTTGTCTCATCACATGCATGCACTCCAGAGTGCTTTGCATGACCTGACCAAGCAAGTGGTTGTGAAGGAGACTTCAGACCTGCTTGGAGAGTCATTGAATTTGATTTAATCAGAATCATGGAAAATAATTGAATGCGATTTTTTTGTCTACAAACATATCAAGAACTACCTTGATTGAAAGGGTGTTTACACTTTACTTTAAAACAATTGTTGCTCATTGAAAGCATCACAAAAGGAAGAATGATGGAAAATCACAATGGAAAGTCATGGAATTTGAATGTGGGTTTTGAAGACAAAGGGCACCAGATCATTATAATGTACCTCTCTATCATAGTGGTAACCTTTTAAAAAAAAAAGCCATATTGATCATTCTAAACAAGCTGATTGTCTCTATTTGTGTATGAGTCAGAGTGGGAAGAAAACTGATATGTCAGACCTTGTTGACTAGTCAATCAATATGGGCAGGGATTGTAAAACATCCCAAACAAGATCAATTAACTACTAAGATGCAAAATTTGAACTGAACAGTGATGTTTACCATGGTCTTTTGAACCCTTTGCAGATCTATCCAAATGAGAGGCATGGCATTCGTCAGTCAGTTTCATCAGAACATTATGAGACCATGCTGCTCTCCTTTTTACAGAAAAATCTGTAGACAGTGGGTTGTGTATTTACTCTGACCTACTCTTGAGCTGAGTGCTGGTCATTTGTCAGCCTAGGAATATCAAAGAAAAAAAGAAAAAAAAAAGACCAAAAGAAACAAGGAAAATAAAAAAAAAAATGACCAGGCTTCTGTTGTTCAAAGGGCAGATAGCGCTATCCAATGGATAAATCGCTATCCAGCAGATAAGTGTTACCAAAACGTACTCTGCTATCCACCAGATAGAGATTTATCCAGTGTATAGCGTTATCCATCCTTTGAACAACCGGGGCCAGAACAGTAAAGCTACTTGAACCCTTTAACACTTGCAGGAGTGCCGGCCCAGCATGTTAATTCTCCTCTCAATTTTTTAAATAATTTCAAGCAGATAGGCAATGAGAATAAATAAATTATGTAAAGGGAATTTGTTATCATCAAACTCCAGGTTCTCAGGACTAGCCAATAACTAAGTTTGTGTTTGTCAAGAAGGAGAATTAAGTAACGTTGACTATCTTAGGTATTGCCATCAAAGTTTAGTCAAGCTGGTCATGTGTCCATACCAGCTGTCATATGGTATGTTTAGTACATTACTTTGCATTGGCTAAAACACAATAACCATCAAATTGAGAAAAACTGTGTGGAAAATATTTGTAGCTTTGTTGCTTTTGCATCTCGGTTAAATCTGAGTGTGCAGATTCTGACATCAGTTTATCAGCTTTCAGTTTCCCTTTGGCTCTGCAAAGAGTCAACTTTCGTTCATATGAATTTACGGAAACATTGAACACTAGTGGAGCTTAGCTAAAAAGCCATATATATTATTTCTTATTCCTGTTGTTTTAGACTCAAACCTTAAATTTATTAAAACCATCTAGGGCATGTTACACAGTGCTGCTTGGAAAATTATATCTTCTACATTTGAAAAATTACCTAACATCATAATTTACCACAAAATTTTAGTTTTTAAAAAAACATGCCATACTTGAATACTTATTGAGTAAATAAGAACTTCAGTTTCTTTTAATTTAAAACAAACAGCATCACCTTGGCAATGCACAGTACATGTATAAGTATATCAGAATGGGCTACAATCTTATAGATCATGTTTAAAACCATGTTGATTATTCTAATTATAACTATTAGGAATGTTACTGGCAATTACTTTGTTGAAATTTATTTAAAATAAACATTATAGAGAAATGCCCTTGAGATCTATAACCAACACAAATCCCTCCCAAGGAGGTAAGTTAGACATTATTTATTGACAAACACAGCCCTCTATCTTATACAACACATGAAAGAAATACGTATGATGCACGATCCTTCACAGTAGATTGCGTGATTTATGCAATAGCGAAAATCAGACCTGAAAAAAATCAGGCCTGTACGGGATTCGAACCACTGACCTCTGCGATACTAGTGCAGCGCTGTACCAATTGAGCTAACAAGCCAACTGGGAGCAGGCCGTTAAGTTGATTCGTAATAAACCCGTGTTGATAAATCAGATACAAAAATATATGAACTTCATATATTCATTGTACATGAAAGAAAGTAACTGAAGTTAAGTACTAGGTACTTTTTTTCTGGCAGATGAGCAAAATTTTGAATTAGAGCAAGAGGAACAAAAGACAACCGAGGGTGCAGAGCAATGAAGAAAGAAGAGTTTCCTTCTTCTTGCTCATTTGTCTGTGTAGTTTTTAACTCCACTGGTCAGCTCTTTGTGTTCTGGTATTCTTGTCACGCAAGTCTATGACAGGATGGAAAACACATGCACTGAAAATACCTCCTGTTGTCCCATACGAAGCCTTAGAAAAGTTTTCTATGGCTTTTTATTACACAACTCGGGCAGTCAGAGGGCCAATAACTAAAATCAACTAATCAAAATGCTCTATTGCCAGTCAATATTCTCTCAGTATTGGACTGGGCACTGTCCCGAATGGTCCCGAATGATACCTTACTTTTGTCCCTTTGAACTTCAGTCGTATTATAGATCTGTTATTAATCAAGCTTGCTCGGGACCATACTGGAAGAATATCAGCCCTCGGTCCGTACTGTCAAGACCTTGGGCCGATATTCTCCCAGTACAGTCCTCGCACTTGGTTAATAAGATATATATATGGGACAACGGGAGGTACTTACAGTGCACGCGTTTTCCGTCCTGCCATGAACTGGTTGCTAATTGAGAGATGACAGTGGAGATGAGCACTTTAAATGCAGACTCACCAAAACAAAAAATGCCTGCTATGGAGATAGTAGGAGATCATAAGATCATTAGTACGATATCGTTATCTTTATCTGTTTTATTACTTCTTAGTTGTATGATTTCTCAAGACGTGGTAAATCTATAAATTCTATTTCTGCTTCACTTGTAACCTACAGAAACACATGAGCATTGGGCTAAATAGTCCCTTTTACAGTTGTGGGCTTGGTGGCCAAGCCTTTGAACAGGAGTGAGGCTAAGGGTGACCCTGTTGTGATAGAGACCTGTATCTAGTTAGCATGATAACAAAGTAATTTGCATTTGAAAAGCAGCAATATCTCTATCATAACAAGGTCACCTTAAGCCTGACTCCTGTTCAAAGGCATGGCTACCACGCCCACAACTGTAAAAAGGACTATTCCATACCTTCCAAGAGTGATCCTTTAAAAGAAGTACTGGACAGTAATGTTTCTCACCAACTGCACCTTAACAGTACAACCAGTGTAGGGAAAAGAAAAACACTTTCAAGGACTATCTAACGTGGTGTTTACCAATTTTGAATGGTCCTTTGATCATGACGGTCAAACATAGGTTTACCACAGGCACCAAAAAGGTTTTTCGTATGTGCCATAATCCACAGATCTTAACACTGCAGGTAATGGGAGCAATTGATCAGTGGGTGTGAAACGTTAGGTATGGAAACGAGTCAGTATGCCAAAGAGATTTCCATTTTAATCTTCTGAGAGAAGGTCATCATCTGAATTTATAATTATTTAATGTGGTGTTTAAAAGTTAATTCACACTTCATGTTGGTATCCATAGTGACACAATGTCCAAGCAACAATTATAAGCAAAAGCTATTTAGTTTCCTGATCATTTTTAAAACCTCTAGACCTGATTGTTCTTATAACAAGGATGCAGAGGATGCTATTGGGAATGAAAGAAACTTGGATTTCATTATTCATTTTGAGTTATGGTTAGATACATGTTTTACAGTCAAGTGGGTTGCTTTTGTAACTTGTACATTTAAACACTATTAACTATTAAATAAAATTTTATTTTAACAAGGATGTTTAGTGTTTTCTAAAGTGATCTCAACTTGTTATTAGCTTGATATGATTGAGTTGAACAACAAAAGGGTTTTTGATAACTACTTAATTTCTAGCACTTACTAACAACATCGACTTTCTTTCGACTTAATCTACCAATACTATTAAAATGAACCAACCACTCACCAGTCTGTAGTTTGTAGTTATATTTCCTTTCATATCTTTTTTTCAATTTCTTTTCTCTTTGTATCATGCACAATTAATGAAGCAAACAAGTTACCCTCTACACCTAACTGAGAAAAACATGCCTTGGTTACTCATTTTCCACTTATTTTATAATTTCAATTTCAAGCCCATTTCAATTTCAAGACTGCTGGTTCCAAGAGATACAATATGCTTAGCTCTGAATTACTGTCATGTTTACTATGGGTTTGGTTTAACCTTAAGAGTGACTAGCATCTAATTTTCCCAATATCTTCCCTTAATCACACACTACAGTCACAAGTCAGAATAAAGGAAATCGTCACCAACTAAACTACAGGTGGCCCAAGCATACTGTGTGTGACTTTGGGGTCTGAAGGTCATAACTGGAATGTCTAACATATTAAGATCGAATTTTAAGCATAAGAGTGGGCCGTTAAAAAAAGGAAAAATTATAAAAAAAAATTAAGAAAATTTAAAAAGGATAATAAAAGCAAGGAATATGATGCATGTAGGCTCCTTAATGTTCTTTCACAACCAGTTTGTCACCAACCGTCACTTTTAAATTAACACTGTTTTGGCAACTTTCTTTGTAATGTGTGTGGTGCTACCAATGAACTGTATACACAGTACAGGCATGTTGGCGGCCCTAAAATTCCTAAAAATCACTAATTTTTTTGGCTATCCCTAAAACGCCCTAATTTTTTAGAATTTTCCCTTAAGTATTTTTTCTTTCTTTCCCGAGTAATAACTGATGTCCAATGTCATTGAAAGCATCTCAACAACTTCTATCAGTGACTGGTAAGTTATTTCAGCTGTTTTTGTGCACTTTTCTTTAAGATTTCTTCCCAATGATATCATTTGAGGGAGGCGAGTTGTGCTCATCTTGCTTGAGCATATCTACATGCTCAAGTACTAGATTTGTAGCACTCTTATACTATCTCATTCTCTGTAAGAGTTTAAAAGTAGTAACATCTCTTTCTAGAAGCTCTTACAGAGACTGCAGTATACAAGTTTTTCATTAACTGTTGTTCTGAAACAATACTTCTTTATTTTAGTTTTCACCTTCATGTGAATGTAAGGGCATCTACATAACTTTGTCAACCTTTTTCTGCTCACTGATGAAGCTGTTAACAGCACAGGTTCAAAAGATAATCTTATTATAATATTAATCCTTTGGTCTGCCTTGCAGGGTTCTTGAAAAAAATGAAACTTACAGTCGAATTTGCAAAGCAATACAAGAGAAAGATGCCCTCATAGAAATGCATTTTCTTATCACTGTCAAGCCAGTATTCGATGGAATCTGAAGTACCTTCCAACACCAGGAACCGCTGATCCATATCCTTCATAATGAGTGCCTTCAACTGGTGAAAAGGCTTCTGTGGCAATTTTTGAAACCTGAAATTGCTGATAACAATTCAAAGAAGCTACTTCAGTTAGATGTGCAAAAAAGTGACCATCAGCTGCCTGACAGCAGGATGGAAATTAGGGAACCAACTTGCAAAATTCTCTCCACACTGCCACCTAGCTACCAGAAAATTGCGCTGAAGGGAATGAGGACTTTCCTGCAAACTAGTGCCATCTACCTACTGAAACATTTTCCCATTGGAGATACATTTGTTAGGGACTTGACTGTCCTTCATCCTGAGATGCGAGAGATTGAAGCTGGTGACCGCTGGGTTAGAAGAATAGCGCAGAGCTTACCTCAAGTGTTCAAGGGCGATCAAGTCCCAATAGTGGTTGATGAATGGAAACTGTACGTACACCACGAGATTCTACAAGACTGCTACAAGACACATGACAGTGAAAGTACTCCTATTGATCATTACTGGGACAAAGTAATTCAAATGAAAACATTGTCAGGCACTGAGATGTTTCCATATTTGAATAAGCTTATCAAAGCTGTGCTTACTCTTTCCCATGGCAATGCTGATGTTGAGCTGAGCCTGTCAATCAACAAGCAGGCAATTGGAGCAAACAGAACAATCCTAACTCATGAGTCACTCAATGGCATCAGACAAGTCAAAGACGCAGTAACTGCTACAGATGGGAAGATCCACATTATGGACTTTTCCAAGGAGCTCATATCATGTACTAGAAAGGCTAATGATAGATACAGACAGAGACTGGAAGAGCAGAAAAAAACAAGAAGCTCAGAAGAATGAAAGGATTAGAAGAGAAGAAGCTGAAAAGCATAAGAAAATAGCAGAGGAGAAGGCATTTGAAGAGAGAAAACGGAAACTTAAGGACTGAAAAGGAACTGCAGAAGCAGCACGAGGAAAACCAATCGGAGCTGAAGGCTGCAGAGGCATTGTTTAGTGAAGCCAACCAGAGATTAGCTGATGCAGTTAAGTCCAAAGATTTTAAGAACAAAGTGGTTGTAGCTCAG